ATTATATTCGTGTGCTTGCACATGTGCATTAAATGCATAAGCGCAATCGTTGAAAAGTAGAAAAAAATGGCCGTAAACTGACCTGCGGATTACATCAATTCAACAGAGCGATTATCCAAAGATAAAAATATCACCAAGTAGTAGGACACCTATAAGAACACTGCACTGTTTAGTGGGCGGGGGGCGGGCATACAACACAAATCACACTGGTTAGTAGGAACCTACAAGAACAGCAAACTGATTAGTAGGAACCTATAAGAACAGCATACTGATTAGTAGGGACCTATAAGAACACCACAGTGGTTAGTAGGAAACACCCGCCGATACCCTGCATTTGAGTACGGAACCTATACAGGACGAGCACCCACACACGTGGGTTGCCAGCTAGGCCGCTATAGAGAGAGAGAGAGAGAGAGAAAGAGACTAGACTGGTATGGATTTTACTGGACTATACTAATATGGTTTGGATTAGCATACATAGACTAGACGGAGTGGCATCCACACTATTGCCCATTATAAAAGTAGACGAAATGGAAGTTGGCAAAATGTGAAGTAGGCGAAATGGGAGTAGGTGAAATGGGAGTAGGCCAACTGGGATGTTACCCTGACAACAGCCCTCTGGTTATTAAAGATGTCTTCCCACGCACATTTTTGTAACAAACCACTGTAAAAACGCAAGTAAATAACTCGCTGCACTTTAACTGAACGTTATCTTTAAAAAAAACGGTAAAAATATGTATCAAGCCTATATTTGCTCAACGAAAAAACAACTCGAAAATCGCTATTCGCCGCGGTTCTGAACATAATGGCGGTTCTGTGTAAAAGCTCCTTTATTGATGAGCCTTTGTAAGAAAGATTGCGAGTACATACCTTGGCAGGATGATGAGCTGCACGGCCCACATGAGCAGGAATATGATCACGGAACATCCCATGTAAGACTTGAACATCTGGTCGCGCTCTATACTGTACTGCAAAAGCATAAAAAACGCGAGGCACATGTAACAATGTAAAATGCACAGTACATGATATGTAAATGTATTATGTAATTTATTATGAGGCAATGTAAAATGCTCCCTGCAACAAACGCTGTTGCTACGTTTAATCGTGATATGGCAAAATTACAGCAGTCCAGCAACATTGCGCTGATATTAGCACTGCATTGCGGGGCCCTCCCTACAAAAAAGGGTAGGTATGTGCCACTTGAGAGATGGAATTGGGGGGCTCCGGTACTAACTCAGCACATCAAAATAGGGAGCTCCAGAACGCGCGGACAAAGGTAGGACATATGCGCAGGGACGGGAAATATGTGAGAAGGGGGTCTCCGGAACGAAAAATATGTGAAAAGGGAAGTCTCCGGTGCGGAAAAAAGTAGGACCTATGCTCCAGGACGGGAAATATGTGAAAAGGGAAGTCTCCGTGCGGAAAAAAGTAGGACCTATGCGCCGAGACGGGAAATATGTGAAAAGGGAGGTCTCCGGTGCGGAAAAAAGTAGGACCTATGCGCCGAGACGGGAAATATGTGAAAAGGGAGGTCCCCAGTGCGGACAAAAAGTCGGACCTATGCGCCGAGACGGGAAATATGTGAATGGGGAGGTCTCCGGTGCAGAAATTTTGAGGTGAAAAAAGGGTGGGGGTCATAAACCGCGGCACATACTTACCATACAGTATATAGGAAGTACCCCCCCCCGGGATTCCGGACTAACTAACTGAGAATCACATAGCCTCGTGGCATGCTCGCCACTATACGAGTTTATACATTTTAGCTAAGTCAAATCTTATATGGTAAAACATTTAAAACCTAGTATAATTTGTTAACCGTTATACTGCAAATGTAGTAAACGTATTAGTCCGTGTCAATGCCGTATTTCAGCGTTATTTGTTAGCTCAAAATGTTAGCATCGGATATATATCGTGGTGCATATACTGTAGCTAGATCCATGATAATACATTTGATTGCAGTTATTGATCAATATCATTTACTGCCTTCTATTGAATTTCACATTCAATCATTTCACACGTAATGTTATAACTTTGATTTGCCTGGATTTTTTCGAAAATAAAACAAATGGATGCATTTATAACTAAGATTGCACTTTTAATAGACTGATATTGAATTGATATATGAACTCTTATTACAAATATTCGTTGATCGTGTTAGTCATTATATTACAAAGGGTTGTAAGGTTAGGGCGCAACTAGGGATGAGGAAATTTTTACCTTAAGTGCAATCTTAGTTATAAATGCATCCATTTGTTTTATTTTCGAAAAAATCCAGGCAAACCAAAGTTATAACATTACGTGTGAAATGATTGAATGTGAAATTCAATAGAAGGCAGTAAATGATATTGATCAATAACTGCAATCAAATGTATTATCATGGATCTAGCGTCTTATCTAATGAAAATAGTGATGATACTTGACAGAAAAATAGAAGGTGCTTCCGACCGCCTCTTCTCTCCCACAGTTTGTCGGGTGGGGGAAATATTATGTGGATATATGCTTCTACACAACACACTACATGCTGTGTTGTTGCTGTTGTGTATGTTATTGTGTATATCCAACACAACAACATGCATGTTGTAGTGTATATCCTTGATGCTGTGTAGCACAGTAATTATTCCTGTAACGTGCTGCCACCTAACAGGCGATTACGGAGAAAAATAGGGAGCAAATATAAACGGATTGCGGCGCAAATATTTAGCCATCAGTAATTACGATGTTCCTGACAACGTGCCTCTGGTCATAAGGAGACGATGATGAACCCAAATGCCTCAATTCTTTTCGTAATGCATGTAAAACAGGCAGCAAAGGGACCAGCAAGACAGGCATCGGATGGGAGATCTAGAAAGCTAGGAAGTAAGAGGAGAAATAGAGAAGACCTGTGGTAGACGGAGAGGAGGTGGACGCGCAGGATAAACAGGCAGCGTGGCAAACATCGAAAATCATGAGCAACAAAAGGTGGGTCCAACCGCTACAGTCTCTTCATCTCGTACTTGCTCACGGCTGTGTGAAGGAGGGGAGAAAGGCGGGAGATAAAGGAAAGGAAGGAGAGGAAGGCCTTCCCCTTCCCCTTCTCCTCTATCTCGTGCTTGCAAACAACAGCGAGAAGAATGAGAGAAAAGAATGAGAGGAAGGGCAGAAAGGAAGGAAGGAAGGAGGAGAAGGAAGGAGGGGAAGATGTCAAGCTACCTTCTCCTCAATCTCGCGCTTGCAAAGAGAAGCTTGGATAATGAGAAGAAGAAATGAGAGGAAGCAAGGAGGAGAAGGAAGGATGGGAGAGACGTCTACCTACTATCTCGTGCTTGCAAACAGCAGGGAAAAGAATAAGAGGAAGGGCAGACAGGAAGGAAGGAGGAGAAGAAAGGAGGTGAAGACGTCAAGCTACCGTCTCCTCTATCTCGTGCTTGCAAACAGCAGAGAAAATAATGAGAGGAAAGTCAGACAGGAAGGAAGGAGGAGAAGAAAGAAGGTGAAGACGCCAAGCTACCTTCTCCTCTATCTCGTGCTTGCGGAACGTTAGTAGGAACCGGCGGCAGTGCTCGGAACGTAGTCGGTCGATGCTGCGTGCGTCGATCGCTCGGCTTAGGTACTCGTTCACCTCATCATCGGTATCCTTACCCTGCTCGGAGAAGCCCAGCCTGACAACACACAAGCGAGGTGTAGTCCAGCGGATAAGCACATAAAAATGGGCACATTATGCACTTTTGGGTAGAATTATGAAACTTTGCCCACTACATGAGGTCCTGAAGATTTTCTGATATAGTGCCAATTGAACCTGGTGGCGTGCAGCGCCCCCTGTCGGGTTTACGGGTATTGCGTTACCCCACTCTTCAGATTTTGGCTATAATTTCAATAATCATCAAATTTATTCAAGAGATAGCTCAAATAAATTCGTAGATATCTATACTAATAGTACAGAAGCAAGTTATTGAGTGTAGCTATGTTTGAGTTGTAAAAGATTACGTCGAAACAGTGAAATACGGAGTAAGGAGTGCGGAAGGACTAGTGTGGGATTCACTAAACGCGCGACACTAGAGTAAGGTCGTGCGCGCAAAACTGGTTTAGCTTTGATATCGATCACCACCGATTTGAGTAAGATCACGCGCACGTGTAGATACAATAATGTAACCCAACAAGAGTAAGGGTGCTGTAAAGGGAAATTGTGCCCCCTACTCTTGTTGTGTTACATTATTGTATCTAGCGCACGTGCTACTCCGTGTTCGCAACTCGCACATGCAGAAACAAACACAGATGCGCTTTATGCACAAAGTTGTTTCCTTTACATCAATGTCAGTGTTTTCGTACTACATGTTAGTTTAGTTTCTATTTATATTGCATTTCTTTTCAATTATATTTCCACAGTGTTTTGTTTCATTTATCTTTGTATGTCTGCATTATTGAATACACTACACAAAAAGCACGCGCGCGCACATGCACACCCATCTCGCAAGTAATCACACCCACACGCACGCACACTCACCCGCCATCAACCACTCGCACACTGGCACGCTCACATACACACACACGCACACGCACACGCACACGCTCTCTCTCTCTCTCTCACACACGCACACACACACACACACCAGGAAACACACACGCACGAACGCACACACGCACGCACGCACACACACACACGCGCACATGCACACGCACCACACACACCAGGAAACACGCGACAATATACATGTAACTGCGTCTATAATGAGAATAGAGCGGCGTCGATGATACACCAATGAAACCAGCAAACGCTGCAAACAGCACGCCTCCGCCTACCTACTCCCCGCCTGCGATTAATATATACTTACTTACGCTATCAGAGCCCAGCTGACAATTGTTACTATTATAATATTATTACTTCTGCTGTTGTTGTTGTTGTTTGTTTTGTGTGGTTGTTGTGTGTGTTCGCTTGTCGAATGACAAAACTATATTTATTTATATATATATATATATATATAAATATATATATATATATATATATTTATGTAATATATAATATATGTGTGTGTGTGTGTGTGTGTGTGGTGTGTGTGTGTGTGTGTGTTGTGTGGTGTGTGTGTTGTTTGCGTGTGTGTGTCACGTAGTATGTCCGCGCACAATATATTAGGTTGTTTAGCAGCATCGGGAGTGTAGTAGTGATAGAGGCTTATACCATATTCATCCACTAACCTGTTGGCCATGTTTTTGTGTCCTTTCCCCTCGTCCTCGTCAAAGCCCATCTTCTTGAGAACGCCATTCGTTCTCTGTTCTGTACTCTTTTCTGTCGATTTAACCTTACCCTATAAGAAACAGTGCAGCGTTGTAGTGCATATGTGTGTACGGAAGCAACCTCAAAGGAAAATAACATCAATTATGCCTGATGCAACAGACATAAAAATTACAGATGCATATACGCATAGATGCATATATACACACACGCACACATATACAGGAACGCGGACACATGCATGCAGACAGCCACGCACTCACCTACTCACCAACGCACGCACGCGCACACGCCACCGCACACGCACGCGCGCACCCAAGCACGCACGCACGCACGCACTCACGCACGCACGCACGCACGCACGCACGCACGCACACACACACACACAGATATGCATATACACACATATACATACACGCGCACGTACTTACACATGTATGCACTCACGCACACGAACGCACAACGCGCTTACATATGCATACGAATACATACGTGTATCACGCATACACGTTTGAACGCATGTACGCATCCACTCAGGTTTCCCAACACCACACACACAACACACACACACACACACCACAACACACACACACACACACACACACACACACAACACACACACACACACACACACACACCACACACACACAACACACACACACACAACACACCACACACCACACACAACACACACACACACAACACACATCACACACACACACCACACACACACACACCACCCACACGCCGCGCACACCTACGGCGATGTACAGGTGTATTTCACTGTGTGAAGCAAAATGTCAGTACATCGTTATAACTTGTGTTTGGGTACCATTTTGCCTGCGATACGTCCGCATTTACTCTGAAAATATTGTTGAAGAAATTGAGTGTGCTCTGCCTCGTTCGAACTCCATGCCACCGTTTGCTTTTACCGCGGCAATACGATATCCATTCCAGACCCAATGTTATTCTGGAGAATTTTACCATTTATTCGTGTGCTTGCACATGTGCATTAAATACATAAGCGCAATCGTTGAAAAGTAGAAAAAATGGCCGTAAACTGTCCTGGGGATTACATCAATTCAACAGAGCGATTATCAAAGATAAAAATATCACCAGTTAGTAGACACCTATAAGAACAACTGACTGTTAGTGGGGGGGGGGGCTATACAACAAAATCACACTGGTTAGTAGGAACCTACAAGAACAGCAAACTGATTAGTAAGCGAACCCCTATAAGAACAGCATATCTGATGTAAGCTCTAGACAACAGGTATGAGGCATTAGACCTATAAAGACACCACAGTGGTTTAGTAGGAACACTACTATAGAGATCATAGACACCACAGTGGTTAGTAGGAACCTATAAGAACACCACAGTGGTTAGTAGGAACCTATAAGAACACCACAGTGGTTTCTAGGCCTATAGAACACCTTGAAGTTAAGAACTTAAACACCACCGTGGTTAGTAGGAACCTATAAGAACACCACAGTGGTTAGTAGGAACCTATAATAACACCACCGTGGTTAGTAGGGAACCTACAGAACAGCATACTGGTTAGTAGGAACCTATAAGAACACCACAGTGGTTAGTAGGAACCTATAAGAACACCACAGTGGTTAGTAGGAACCTATAAGAACACCACAGTGATTAGTAGCAGCCTATAGAACACCACGGTGTTAGTAGGAACTCTATAAGACAGGCTACTGATAGTACGGAGACTTAAGAACATCATTTTGCTTTGGTAGGCAAGCTATAAAAACAAGCATACTGAATTAGTAAGTGAACGCCTATAAGAACATCAATTTGGTTGGTAGGAACCTATAAAAACAGCATACTGATTAGTAGGAACCCATAAAAACATCACACTGGTTAGTAGGAGCCTATAAGAACATCACACTGGTTAGTGAACACATGTAAGAACACGGCAGAGATTAACAGAGACATATAAGAACAACACGCTGGTCAGAATATACTTACAAGAATACCACACTGTTTATTGAGTACCTATACGAACAGCACACCGGTTAGTCGAGATGCACATCTAAGAAGGAAAACTGATTAAAATAGACATAAGAACAAAGCACTGATTAGTGGAGACATATAACAACACCAGTCTGGTTAGCAGGTACCTGTGAGAATAGCAGAATGCTTAGTAGCGAGCGGTAAGAACGACCCACTGATCAGTTGAAACATAAGAACAACAGGCTGGTTACCCGATACCTATATGAATACTAAAATGATTAGTAGCACGGGGTAAGAAAACTAAACTGGATAGTAGCGAGTTCAAAGAGCGGTCCATGGGTTAGTTGAGACGGAAACTCGGTGCCATTAGTAGCAGTAGTTATTAGTAGCCAGTGGTAAGAACACTAAACTGGATAGTAGCGAGTTCAAAGAGCAGTCCAGGGGTTAGTTGAGACGGGAACTCGGTGCCAGTCGTAGCAGAACGAGAGCAACTCGAGCTGCAGAGGTCTTACCAGCCGGAACTCGAGATTGAAGCAGAGTTGTTGATGGTGGCTGTACGTGGAGTAGGTGGGCAAGGCTAGACCGTGCTGGCTGTCTGCTACCTGCCCGGGCAGCAGCATGTCTCTAAACAGCGAGCATCGCCTCTGTGGATAACCAACCATCACGGTTAGTGCTGAATCCACGCAGGTGGATTTATACCACAGTACCCCCGGGTACACTATGTGGCTACATACATCCTAACATCATAAAATGAGAGGTTTATTATTATTATTATGATTACTATTATTTATTGTTATTATTGTTATTTCTGTTGTTGTTGTTGTTATTGTTGTTGCTGTTGCCGCTGCATCCACCTATTGCTCGCACGCGCGCACGTACACATGTATGCACACGCACACGCTCAGCCAACTATCAACATGAACACACAGACGTGCGCGCATGTACCCCCTCCCCCGCACGCACAACACAACACAAGCGCGAAACAAGCGATGAGGCAACACACACACACACTCGCACGCTATCAAGAACTCACGCATGCGTGTGTACGAATAACAAACATAGTTGCTCACAGCGTACAAGTACTAGTATATAATCAGAAATATATAATAGGGAATTCCTTATACTTCTGATATAATAGGTAGGATGTGGACACATACACATCTACGGTTACAACAACGTGAGTACGCGACTCGAGCACATACACGGTCACGCAGACGCATACACACGCACGCACGCACGCACGCACGCACGCACAAACACATACGGAGCGAACAATGAATTTCAACTAGCGTCGGAACACCGCTCGCGTGACATCAGTCAAGAAAAGAAACTCACAAATAGATAGTGTAAACAACATCACACATTTCTACAGGGAAGCATCCCACATTAATTTAACACAAAGCGCGCGCCACCGTTAAAAACTTACTCAATTTAGGTAAAATAAGGCAAAGGTTACGATAGGACTCGTGTCAGCGACGACTCGCCGTGCTCTGTACGAACAGGATTATTGCTTTTGGTAAAAAAGTTAGTGATGATGATTATATCGAAAATATGACACATTTCATGATGTGCAAATGTCTTCTACTATATACTAGCAAACGATATGATAGGAATGCGCTATTAGACATGGACCTAATAATATATACATATATTATTTATATTATGTATACATGAATAGAAATAAAGAATAACTAACATTTGAAATACCATACACATAAACAAAGAAGAAAGCAACCCCGTGGTAGGGAACAAAAAACAAACGATGGTAACACGCACAGAATTAGAAGCATTGGAAATTATAAAGTCGTTCGGGATTTACTCAAGCCTCGAGGCAAACAATAATAGGACACCGACATAGCCACGTACACGCCCCATCGGCAAAACACAAACAAAACACGAACAACCCCATTCACCTAGCAACGTGTGCTACGGGTGGTTTATATAGATGTAATTCAAAACTATGGATTTTGATTTCCGATATATATCTAGATATGCCGCACTATGCACAATGTATATGGCTTCGAAAGGATGCACGGAAGCTGGCAATTATTTGAAATGATCGTCGATAACTTGTTTGACAAGAGAAATATAAAACCATTGGTTTCAGTACAATCAATTGAATCATTTTAGGGACTGACGCTCATACACTACTGCAGTGACACTCTACTGAACAACAACCGACGCAAACACCATGGGAACCGGGGCGGGCGTATGCTGCTTGAAAATTAGTGGATTCGTGCGACGCCGTTATATCATTATATTGACTTTTATATTATAGTTACACACACACGCCTATTTACAGTGACGAGAAGGATTGCTGGTGCCAGAAGTGTTGCACATAATTAGCGATAGAGCACTATTTTCCGTTAAGGAAACTTTGTTTTCTTTGCTATCGAGCGCAGTGAACCCATATGTCGAAGTTACGTAAACGACCAGGCGCGAGCGGTAGCATTGCACTCCAGTGACGTCATCAGAAATGATTTTTAAATAGTTCTCGAGAGTGCTTTGAAGTTTCATGAAGCTGCGCAGTATTTATCATAAATACCGTTGGCGTCTCAGTCTGTGTTCTTAAATTCTAATAATTATGCACGATTAAAATTCTAAACCACTGCCTCCCGGAATATTAAATTCCTTCTGCGTGACTGGTCGTCAGTAACGCAGTCAGTGACGTATATGTCAACAAACACGTAACCAAAAGCGCCAACTGTGATTTGACAGCGAACCCTTCGGTCAGTAGCACAGGACAGCGCTTGCTTTTAAATGGTAAGATGTTGTCATATAGAGGGATAAACGATGTTAGGAATTTTATTATTGTATTATTAAGCTCACTGCCTTCTCTTTTTATTCTACAAGTTTGTCTTTTGAGTACGAAAATTAGTTACTAGGCGCAGCCAATCATTATGCATTTGAATTACATCTATATGGAGCACCCGAGCAGATGCTGACCTCTACTCACCCCCTTCGTTTTCCACTGCAGGTACCAGGTAATATACAAAATAAACATGTATTAAAAACTGTATAACACACTTACGCACACTATATAGACCTATATATATATATATATATATACATATATATAAATATATGAATATATAGCATATATTGTCATCCAACATTACCTACTGAGAAATAATCACTCGGGAATAACTGAGTGGCTACGAATAAAAAACTACGAATAAAATAATAATAACGACAGATTGCAATGTCGATCACGACGGCGATATCCAACGGCGATGAGGAGACTAGCTCTAGACGTGAGTGAAAAAATGAGTAGAGTGAATTCGATGCGTGACGCGAGATGGCGCTCCTGCGGCCGCGGCGGCATAAAGGCGAGCGTGCACATACCTTACGGACTTGCGGCGGCACAACAAAGAACGTTTCGATGATCTTCTCGCGTATGTAGCCGTTGCGCGCCGAGCCGTTACCCGGCTCGAGCGTGTACTCGTCCGGGCTGAGGTACGTCGCCGTCGTCGCCGTAATGTGCACCTTACTGCGTGACACCAAACAAATGATGGTATAAATGACGCCACTAATGGATAGATGAATGGAAGAATAGATAGATAGATAGACACGTAGATAGATAGATAGATAGACAGATAGATAGATCAACAGACAGACAGACAGACGGATAGATAGGTAGGTAGGTAAGTAGGTAGGTATAGGTAGGTAGGTAGGTAGGTAGATAAGTAGGTAGGTAGGTTAGATAGATAGATAGATAGATAGATAAATAGCTAGATATTAATAGACTGATTGCGTTGCACAATTTATTGTTATGATACCGTCAAACATATAGAGACGTGTGAAAACTGTTCGATTGCATTAATTGGCCCGAATCTCTGTCCTGGGTATTTCGAATATTGCAGAACGCCTTTCAATTGTACATTTGTGTCAACGCAACACGTATGGAAAAACGATTGAAACAGATATTCGAGAAGGACGAATCGCATGATACGATATGCACGCTCATGTTTTTACTAGCGATCGAAGCACGATCCGCTGCACACGCCAACGTTTTCATTCTGTTGCTAGAATGAAGAAGAGATGTAGATAATAATTAGTGTAGGTGTGTGTGTGTGGAGGGGGTGCCTACGTGCGTGCGTCATTCATATTTCATCGTATTTCGAAATTGTTGTCCAGCCTCTTAAAATGTTGTTGCCCAGCAACTTCTGTATAAGTAAAGTGAGTAGGGCCTACGTATACTATAAAACCATTTCAGCACACACGCGCGCGCTCACTCTTATTTAAACCCACAACACGCACGCCGCACGCCGCACGCACGCACGCACACACGCACATATATATATATATATATATTTAGTCAGAATATATTATAATATATAGCTGTGTCAGGGTCTGATGATCGTGATTGGTCATGGCGTTCAATCAGCATAAATGGTGAATATCAAATGCCGATCGTGTAACGTACGTATGCGAATCGGACACAGCCGCAAAAACTCGTATCATTCGACGAATAATTTCTTGACAGCTACCTTATCACCGAATGTGAAACTAAGAAACAGAGCTAATTCGACAAATCTAGATCTACATTCTCGCGGCTTCGCGCCGCGTAAAAAGTCCGATAACATGATAAAAAGTGCGTCAGCGATCTAATCTAATCAATATTGTGTTTTTTCTATCGAGCACAGTGGACTTTTTTTCGGTCCAAACCCTATCGATTGCCAGTGTGACGTACGGCAGTGCACGCACGCACTGAGAATGTAATTAAGTAAACAGATACACTGCGATACGTAATTAGTGTGTAGCTTATGGATTCCGCTTGCTACGAATAATGCGTTGCGAGAGTCCACCGTCTATTGTTGACTGTACAGTTAGCGTGCGTGTATTAGATGCATTATATGAGCAGCATCCAGTTGCTGCTGTCATACGCGTGTCCGTTACTCGGCTGAATGCCGGATGGGGTCTCCCTGTCTCTGTCTGCGTCCTTCTCCTTCCCCTTATTTAACGTACACCTCCCCGTCCTCCTCAACATCATTGTTGTCTTCTCCTCATCCTTCTTCCTCTGCTTCTTCTTCTTCACCGTCCTAACATCATCATCATCATTATCATTATTATCACCATCATCATCATCATCATCATCATCATCATCATCATCATCATCAGCAGCAGCACCATCATCATCATCTTCTTCTTCGTCGTCGTCTTCTTCATCATCATCATCATCATCATCATCATCATCATCATCTTCTTCTTCTTCTTCTTCTTCTTCTTCTTCTTCTTCTTCGCCTTCTTCTATGCATCCTCCTCTTGTATTTCCGCCTCCCCTTCCCGCCCCTCCTCCTCCTCCTTCTGCTTCTTCTTCTACTACCTCTCCTTCTCTTCGCTGTCACTCTCGCGCTCTTTTCTCTCTATCTCTTGTTCGTTATTTCTCCTCTCTATTCATCTATCTTACTGGCTCTATCTTTTAACACTTTCTCTCCCCTCCTCTTCCTCCGCCTCCTCTCTCCCATCACTTACTCTCTTGCTATTTTACCTTTTGCTCTCTCCCCTTCCATTCCCCTACTGCACATGCCGCTACGTGCGCGGAGCGAACACGGTGAACCACATCAGGAAAAAATAGACGAAAAAAGTCTGCTCCAAGTTTCACGCAGGCCCCCAGTCCAATTCGAGGCTTTGTTGAGTGTCCCAAAATGCGAAGCTGTCCCCGCCACTCGCCGTGTCTACCTGTGTCACGCACACGACGACAGGGACGCATATAACGAAGACGTTCGCGGAGCTTGTGACAACCACAGATTGTTGGTGACAATCAAAAGATGCTGGTGGCAATCGAAGAATGTTGAATGACGAAGGATGCTGAGGGCAATCATATAAAGTAATCATATAAATTTTATTTCGCGCTTGTATCAAACGACGGACTCGCGTGCGCCACGCGCGCGCCTGGTAAAACGCAGACGTGATTCGTAGCTGTTACCTGGCAACGAAAACACAGAAAATAACAGCCGCTTTGCCATCCAGCAAAGAACCGCTGGAGACACGGTCTACTTTCGCCGATGTGGTTCCGATCACGTTACATGCTTCTACCGCAGGAACTATGTGCGATGAGTGTACGCCCATTAGATTCAGTTCGGATATATATCCACACACATCGGTATCGTACCTATGACGGTTCTAGGACAATCACCCCCCGGAAATCACCCCCCGGACATTTACCCCCGGAAATTTACCCCGGACATTTACCCTCCCCCGACTTACCCCCGGACAATCCCCCGGAATTTACCCCGAAATTTACCCGCGGACATTACCCCCGGATTACCCGCGGACATAGTACCCGCCGCATCCCGGTCATTATCCCCCGGACAATTAACCCCCCCCCGTATTTCATTCAACCCACCGTTCAATCACCGCCGGCAACGCCCGCCGAGATTAGCGGCGGACATTACCCCGGACAATAACCGGAGCAATTACCCCCCGGGTTTACCCTGGTATTCACCCGGCATTTACCCCGACACATTTACCCCGGACAATTAACTCACTTGTTGTTTATTTTCATTGCTTGAACATTACAGGGAGAGATGTCGAGGAGAGAGAAGAGGTGGAGGGAGAGGGGGAGAAGGGTGGGAGAAGGGTGGAGGAGAGGAGGAGGGAAGAGGTGGAGGAAGGAAGAGAGGAAGGAGAGAGGAAGGAGGGGAGGATGAGGAGGAGAGAGAGGAAGGTGGGGGAGACGGTTGGTGGAGGGGAGGGGGAAATAGGGAGAGAGAGGGGGGTGCCGAGCGCAGAGGGAGAGGAGTGGAAGGAGGAGGAGAGGGGTGGAGAGGTGGCAGGGAAAGATGAGGGAAGTGGTGGAGGAGGAGGAGGAGGAGGGGGTGAAAGGTGGGAGGGGAGAGAGGAGAGGAGGGGAGAGGGATAGAGGAGGGAGGAAGGTAAGAGGCCGCCATCTCAACTCTCTTCATCTCCTCATTACGTTCTCCCTCCTATCTTCTCTCCTCAACCCACTGCACTCGTCTACCTCCCTCTACCTCTCTCTCCCTTTCCCTCCTCACTTACATTCCCCGTCGTCTCTTACACTCCTCGCTAATTCCGGGAGGTAAATTGTCGGGGTAATTAACGGGGTATATGTCGGGGGGGTGATGTTCCGGGTTTAAAGTCGGGCGGGTAAATGTAGAGGGATTGTTCCGGCGCGGGGGCCGCGTAAAGGTCGGGGGTTAAAGTCCGGATGTGATTGTCGGGGGGTAATGTCGGGGTAAATGTCCGCGGAGTGATTTCAGGGGTATTGTCGGACATGAATGGCTGGGGTAATGTCGGGGGGTGATTGTCCGAATGGTAATGTCGAGGGTAATTGTCGCGGGTATGTCGGGTATTGTCGGGGGGTGAATGCATGAGGGGTAATGTCGAGCGGTAATTGTTCTGGCGGTTTGTCGGGGGTGAGTTGTCCGGGTATTTGTCCCTGTACATTATATATTATTATATATATATAATTATACTGCTGCTATGCGTTGTCTCGTCGATTCTATAGCGTAGGGCACGCATCGAGCTTAGTTCCCAGGCTATTCTGGATTCTATTGCTGACACGACGCTTAAGACATTACTCGCACTCTTTCGCTTCGTTTGGATTCTTTCGTTTTGAGTCATGAGGTTTTTTATTTACTGATATATCTGTTACTGGTGCACCTACTCACACTCGTGTGCGCGCGTGTCGTGCGTGATTGAAAACAGCATGTGTGCGTGTGGCGTGATAGGTTGGAATGTGTGCGAGCACGTGATAGGCGCGAGCGCCAGTCATACCTGTGGTGGATACCTGTGTGTGATGTGAGGGTGTCTTTCTGCTACTGGCAGTCTACTCACTCATAACTGTACTTTTTGAATCCTCAAATAGACACTCATCCGGTATTAGCGGTTATGAGTGGTTACAGGCTCATGCTGTTTATGGCTGGCTATTGCACTTACCCAGGCAGTCTGTGCATGCGTCTTGCTTACCAGCGTCTCGCCTCTTTTTGCTTACCATTGCAGTTCCGAGGCATGCGCTTTCTACGACAGGCAGTTGCGCATGACTTTTTCCTTACCAGGCGTCTACGCATGCTCTTTGCTTACCCTAACAATCACGTGCATGCTATTTTGCTTTACACAGGCGTCGCGCCTGTTTTGACTTATCCAGCAGTCTGCGCTTCTCTTCGCTTACAGGCATTAGCATGCTCGTTGCTTACCCAGGCAGTCTGCGCATGCTCTTCGCTTACCCAGGCAGTCTGCTCATGCTCTTTGCTTACCCAGGCAGTCTGCGCATGCTCTTCGCTTACCCAGGCAGTCTGCTCATGCTCTTTGCTTACCCAGGCAGTCTGCGCATGCTCTTTGCTTACCCAGGCAGTCTGCGCATGCTCTTTGCTTACCCAGGCAGTCTGCGCATGCTCTTCGCTTACCCAGGCAGTCTACGCATGCTCTTTGCTTACCCAGGCAGTCTGCGCATGATTTTTGCTAACCCAGGCAGTGCGCGCCTGCGTTTTGCTTACCCAGGCAGTATGCGCATGCTCTTTGCTTACCCAGGCAGTAGGCGCATGCTCTTTGCTTACCCAGGCAGTCTGGTGAGTCTGCGCATGCTCGTTGTTTACCCAGGCAGTCTACGCATGCTCTTAGCTTACCCAGGCAGTCCGCCGGCCTCCATGTTGTTGGCGAGAGTGACGTCATTCGACCAGACGTCGAACTGCCACTTGCGCAGTCCGAGCACGCCGCAGTGCACGCGTCCGCTGTGGATCCCCACACGCATGTTCAACGCGTCCACGCCGACCATGTCTCTCACGAGCCTGCGAGAGTAAAGGCGACATTAGGTTTCCGCGTTCACTGACTAATACAGGTGACTAACGCCGACTAACTCGCGTTCACTGAGATAGAGGAGTCAAACATACACGAAGGGGGTGGGGTGGGGTGGGGTAGAACCACGTCCCGTAGAGACGAGGTAGGCCACTGCAACGCACGTGTGAACCGTATATATATATATATATATATATATATATATTAGCTATAGGACTAGACTAGGAGATTGCCGTCTGCTTGCTTATTTATGACTTTTGTCTCTGTGTCTGGCTTCGGACTTGATGATCATTTGTCTCAGCAGCGGTTAGCGAGCAATGTTCCTCGCCAGCAAGAGTCAGACGTGGTGACATGTAGGAAGTGGAATGTAGGACAATCATGATGGACGGAGCGCGCCATGCGATAAACTACTTGCGTGAATTACACTGACACAAATCAGGGTTGGTTTACACACATACGCACGCTCGCATATACGAACGAACGAACGCACGCACGCACAGACGCACGCACGTGTAAACACATATAAGTAACCACACAAGTTACATCCGGGCTACCGAACGTCATTTCCCTTGGCACTATTACAGGAGTACATGACGTGGAGATATATCTTCATGATAGATTGATATTATGTGGGCATCATTTACCCCTGGTTATATTGCACACAAACGCAAACAACGTACTCCACAACCCTCACGCACGCTGCTGATTATCACTTCTTGCAATTGACACACGAGTTCCTAATTTAACTTTTTAATGAACGTTAATTAACATCTGTGACCCGCTCCAGCATAATACGGACTAAGTCGCAAGTCATTGTTTTGAGTAATGATGTTTCATGTTGCTATTATTGTATATAAGTAGGAATTACCAAATGCCATTATAAAGTCATTTTGTGCGGCAAAAGGATGAAATTAAATGTTAAGTGTAGTTATGTTAAACGAATTGTCGCTCCTCAGAAATGTGACATTCCACGCTAAACAATTTCTATCGCAAAATATATAATTACTAACAATTAGCAATCGTTTTGTGGTGCACTTTACGCAATGTGGTGTATTGCGTGATTATACCTTGAATGTTAACTATCTTGTATGACACTCTCTTGTCCGCCCTTCCTCTGTATTATCACCCGACGGCCGTCTACATCTATCTTCGTCCCTTATCTGTATTTACTCCGTGTCGCTGTCTTGTGCGTGCTTTACTCTTCTTCGTCTCTCTCAGGCATGTTCCTGTGCTCGGAATTTGCGGATTCATTGCTTCACTCTTCGGTCTTCCGCGCACATTTCTATTCGCGTCGGACATCTGCGTGCTTCAACGGACAGCTGTTCGTCGTCAGTGTGACGTGCGCGAGGAGCTCTCAGGTCTGCTCAATCGAAGCTGCATGTCGCGCGTGCCCGTCCTGCTTCGACAATTAGCTGGCGGCAGGGAGAACCGTATGCTTGGATCAAGATCGTCTCGGCGACTGTACTACTGGTCTGCGGTATATCCTGTAGAGCGCGTTACCGACAGCGGCCGCATGCTGGATCGAGAGTGGGCCTCGACGGATGAAATCGCGCCATTCGTGCGTAAGATGGGGGTTCGGTAGGGCGTGGGTCAGCTTCTATGGCACGTGAGATGGGCGCGAACTGTGTATGACGCATCGAGTAAGTGGTGCGGTAGGGTCGTGGCCGTCAGTCTATGGGCAGCGAGGTCTGGGCCTCGACGTGATCCGTCGCCATCGCGGTTAATGATGGTGCGGGGGGGGGTGCGCAGCGGGCGGTCTATGGGCTGAGAATGTCCCTCGACGTGTTCGCCTTGCCATGCGTATCGCGCGACTGGGTGTGGGTGGGAGCGTGTTCAGTGTATGGTAACGAGGTGCAGCCTCGTACGTTGAGAGTCCTATTCGTGATGTAATGCGACCGGGGTGGAGAAGCGGAGAATAGGAGGAAGGGGTGAGGAAGAAGGAGATAAGGGAGCCGGAGATATGGGGAGAGTGTTGAGAGCAGATGAGATACGTCGTGTCCTGCGTAAGCGCGGAAATAGGCGTAATGTAGATGACAATTGACGAGCTCGCGTTGTAAGCCTGCAGTGACAGGAAGCGACAGAGGTGAAGTGCCAGCGGTTGTGGTCTGTAAGGCTAGATTGTCTTAAAAGAGTGATGGCCTATAGAAATGTAACGCATTGTAAGCGTGCGTGGTTCGCGGTTAGTTGTTAGAGCACGGTGGATCTACAAACCTGATGAGGATGCAGCATGAACGGGTTGCGTCAGACTGTTGTCTAGTGTTCAGGCTAAGAAGTTATGGCAGCACGTTAGTTATAGGCCGTAGCCTGACGGGGGAGATATGATTTTGGAGCCAAAATATAAAAAAAAGATATATAAGCATTCTACTGCAGAATGAGAATTGTCGTAAGTCATTGAATGAAAGCTGATACATTGTAATCAAGTGCTCAAAGTACTCCACATATCTCCTGGCTATCTTAGCATTTTTTTTAAATTTCTTTTGAGTACTGTCAGACGCCCTTCTCCAAGGCCCCTCCTTGAAATCCTGATCCAGCACTACCTCACCCCCCACTTAGAAGTTTGCTCCCGCCTATCGGCCGCGTCTATAACGCGGGCTGGGGCGAAGAGTTAGATAATAAGCGTAGAGAGATCTCGCTAATATTACGGAGTAATCCGTTCGTGCTGTACCGTCGTAGCCTGCGTCAAATGTAGATGATATGCTTGGAATACTTTCAATTTATAACTGAATCCCAAAGCGTGGTATAGTAGTGGCGTATTGTTATGTGTTGTGTATGGGGGCTGTATCAGGGTTTGGCAAATGGGGGGGGGCGGGGGGGGGGGGCGCGGGGGCGGCGGGGGGGGGGGGGGGGGGGGTGGGGCAGGGGATGGGGGGGGGGGGCTCTAGCGCGTGGTGAGTATGCGCAATCAGTGAATCACACGGTGATTTGAAATTGGCGCCTAGCGTCAATCATTAGATAGTAGAAATTGGACATCGTTGTGTCATATATAGACGGCTAATAAGGGGATAGTTTAGGTATTATCAGCGGTGGTCGAACATTCGTATGACTATGACTGCGGAGACAATGTGTCATGCGTGAATATACCTATAATATATTGATAGTATAATAAAATGTATGTAATATATATAATATATACATATATTATTGTGTGGTGTGTGTGTGTGTTGTGGTTGCGTGTCGTGTGGCGTGTGCGGAGTGGCGGGTGGCGTGTTGCGTGTGCGTGTGCGTGTGCGTGTGCGTTGTGCGTGTGCCGTGTGCGGTTGTGCGGTGTGTGTGTATGTGTGGTGGTAGGGTAAGTGAATCATTAGGTGATATTGTGCAGTCGATACATGTCCGTTTATGTACTGCGCAAACATACTGTGTACCGTGTAACCAAGTGGGGTTTCTCTTCAATTAGCATTACGTTTTGTCGCGTCAATGACTTATCACGGTGGCTGCGCCGACGTTGTGCCCATAATTATTCTATGGATACTCTCAGGGAGCGCACGTGAGACGTAAGGGGACTTCCGGCATGCGTAAGTACCGCATTAGGAGATTGCACTATTATGTGGGTGCAAGAGGGTAGTAGAGACAATAGATCGTAGTTAGTGGCCGAGGCTGCAAGGATAAACTACTCTCTCAATTACAGCGTAGTTATGTCAATGGGTCAATACAGAGCGCATTAGTAGTCAGTTCACACGAAGTTCGCGCGGATGCTGCTGTATGTGCTGGCTGTGCACTGTTGCTGTATCAATATCGTCATACTGATTCTTATGGCCGGGGTGGAAGTGGGAATTGTAAAAATAAAATAAAATGAATTGATAGACGCTCTATATTTGCACCTTTAGGTATCTGATCGGCACGTTAATTTACATTCGAATGTATAATGAAGTCTTGTCAGTAACTTGATGTTGCTTATATTTGAGCATGTCAAAAGAATGATAATAAGCTATTGTTATAGTGAATCATTGACATTATAATTCATTCATTTGCACAATAAGGAATATTTTATTGTCAACTCTTGTATTATGACTAGGGAATTCAGCTCATCAGAATATCAAATTGCACTTTTCGTGACAAAGTTAGAAGGTTTGTTTCAATAATAATATTAAAAGGAAGGAAAATGTACAGGAGGTTTATAGGATTATTTGTAATGATAAAAAGGTTCTCTTTATTTTCTTTATTTGGCCTAGGGTAGAAAGTGGAATTTAAAAAATAAAAAATAAAATAAGAAATAATTAAAGTAAATAAGAGCCTATATATTTGCACCTTTTTATGGTATCATTCACTACGTATCTCCATATGCAGCGTACGGTCCTCCACAACACTTGATTACACCGCGGAGAGGCATATAACCATAGACAATTAATATGATAAACCATATATTATATATTAGATATATATATATGATATTATATAATATATATTGTAACACATGGGATATGCTATTATTTCTATTATATAAAAACAGACAGCGGAGCGGAGGCGTAGCGGTTTTTTGGCTTCCTAAAATGTGCGGACGTCCGTCTTCCGTTGCGTAACTACATCGTCATTGCACGTGATTTCGGAGAGTGGTCGCTATAGTAATAGTGATTTTCTGTATGGAGAGTTGCAGAGTGATTGCTGCTGACGCGCCTATCCTCGGGCAATTGATGACAGCGATGTGATCATTAGATGTGACTCGCTGTTGCGCGTGCGTGCGATTATGTTTTGGGCTGTTCGTGCGTGTGTGTGTGTGCGTGTGGTGTGTGTGTGTGTGTGTGTGTGTGTGTGTGTGTGTATGTGTGGGTGTTCGTGTTGTGTGCTGTGTGTTGTGTGTGTGTGTGTGGTGATGTGTGGTGTGTCGTGTGTGTGTTGTGCTGTGTGTGTGTGTGTGCGTGCGTACGTGCGATGTGGTGTGGGTGCGTGTGTGTGCTGTGTGGTGCGTGGCCGGGCGCGCGTGAATGGCGTGCGTAAGTTAGTGCGTGCTGGCGTGCTGCGTGTTCTGCGGGTGTGTGCCGGCGTGTGTAGCGTGCGT